CATTCAGTAATCTTGAGATATGTAAGATTCTTACAATTTCCATTTGATAAAGAAGTATCAGTAATTTGGTAGTTTCTAATGTCCAAATATTCCAAGTTGGGCTTATTTTTCAATACTTCATTCTGAAATTCGTTACCTCTGTAACCGTATGTATGAGATGTTAAATGAGTAATTTGTTTCAAATATTTGGTACCCAAGCATGACCCAATTCCATCAAAATTATATGATACATCTAACTTCTTAACGGTTGACATAAACGCACTTCCAAATAATGCATCTGCTTCCGTTTTTTTAAACTTTTGCAGTTGCCTTAAGCTCAGTTCAGTTAAGTTTGGCATTTGACATTTCGTTAAATGCTTTACGGATGATAGAATCAAATTATTACCAGAAATATCTAATGTGTGCAATTTATCCCATCTGATACCTTTTCTTGAAAGTGATTGAAATGAGCTAACAAGAGCACCAGACAATTTCAAAGAAGTGACATTCTTAATTTGTGGACTTTTTACCAAAAGCTCAACATTCTTGGAAGCATTCACTTGTATTTCAACCCTGTCCACAACATCTTTCCACAATTTTGAAACATATCTACAATAAGCGAGATCATTAACATTCAAGAATTGGAAAATACTAAATAAATTGTCAGAATTCAAACGAGTGGACGAAACTTTTTTTCTATGAATATCCACTTGTTTTAAAAACTCGTAAATATTTCCAACAAATTCATCAATTATTTCGCTATTGTACACAAAATAACGACTATCAACAAGTTTCACCTTATTTGCCAATGAAATTAATTGTGAATTAACAGTCGTCATTTCTTCAAATAACACCGATTCAATATTTTCATCATCAAACATTTTTCCATCATGACCATCGTGATGATCAGCAGCCGAAGGCTGTGATGATTCGTGCTTTCTCTTCTTTGTGTTGTTGGTCATTTTTTTTTTTAAGTTTTTAATTAATAAAATTTTAAATATATTGCTTAATATTATTTAAATTGTGTAAATTAGTGAAATATTGAATGTTCAGTTTAGTAATTTGTATTTAGTTGTATTGATGTTTTGCAGGTGATGCCATTCGAATAGGAGCATCTGGATTCAATTGATAATCTGTTTGTAAGAGTGGATACAGTGTAATTGTCTTTCTGGTACACATTGAAATAATTGGGAAATACATGACAGATTGTGAGACTAAATCCTGAGTTCCAGTAATTGCTGATGCAATGTGAATTCCATTCTTGAAAAAGTTGACCTGTTTGGCATCGTAATCTATAATGACAGCAAATCGATCACCAACAGAGATCTTTCCAACAAATTCAGAACCTACAGTTCCATCAATAAAATCGCCAAACATTTTGAATGATTTGTTTTCGAGAATGTAACCAACTCCAGAGTTTCTTTCAACGAATTGAGCTATGGATTTGTCATTATTGAAATCTTCATAATCAGTTCCAATACCAAATGCTATTGTTAATTGATGGAGGTCAATTTGTCAATATTTCAAATATAGTAAATTTCCAATATACTTACCAACATTCCATGCATTCCACACAAGAAATATCTCA